AGCTGTACTCATCTGGGTTTACTGTTTGTACTGATGTTTGTGAACTCTCCTGTACAGCAAAGGCTACATACATATTTAAAGCAAACTGAAGCTTAACAGAAACTTGGAATGTACCTGTAGCTAACCTATTTCCATAAAATGACAAATTTTACAGTACTATACCACTCACTACAAGGTTTCATCTTATCTGACTAATCATCTTTCAATTGGGCCAGCTACCAGACAAATGAGTATGTATACGATGTCTAAAAAACCCAGCATGTTAGGGTACGTTTTCACCACTTTATATTCTTAAACACATCTCAAAAGCATTCACTTGTTTTAATCGCTCACCCCACTAAATTTTAAAACCCACATAAAGTTTCTTCATGATATTAAAAAACAGAACTCTGCTTTTATGTAGCAATCATTACCTATCAACAGTAAAGCTGCATCCATTACTGCTGCACCGTTTAACATAGTAGCCATCAAAATATCATGGCCAGGACAATCCACAAAAGAGACATGCCTGTTGAAGAAGGTTAAAAATAAGTCCAAAAGCCAACTATCAGCAATTTCTCTGACTGATTTATGTGAGTGGCTAGGCACACACAAAAGTTAAAAGTATCTTTAAAATAAACAAACATTTCAAGACAGATGCTGAGAAGTAATACCTTAAAAGTATTTTCTAAAAGAACACAAAGACTATTAAACAGCTACTCAACAGGTTTTCTGAGTTTTAAGATTTGATACCATATATTTGTATTAGATACTGCTTTAATATTTCACCAAAATTACTTGTAAATTAGACTACATTTAAATGCTCCAGAATAAAACAAAACAAAAAATCCCCAAACACACCATAGGATTTCTCTTAGCTCTATTAAAAAACATCTTCCATTCTCCAATTTCAGAAAGTTATGTGTCTTTAATTACACAGTTATAATTGCACTTCACTTCAAAGATTTATCTACAGAGACAGTGTTACAGCTTTCAGTTCCAACCTTATGATTTTATTGTGCAGACTGTAATAGTCCATTCACTACATTCTTGCCTGAAACTATTCAGAGAAAATGTTTCCTGGTAACATACCACCAAAAAGAAGGGATGAATTTGCTGCTTCACTGAAAATGTTAAAAATCTACTATAAGCAAATGAACAGTAAGATAAAGAATTCAAAGCTTTTAACTAATGGTTTAACAATGGCTACTGATTGTCACACTCCAACAGAAGTTATTGTTAGAACAAGTGCTCCACTGGGAACCTGAGAAAAGGAAGGAAATGCATGATTACAGCACAACATACATGAACTAGAATCCTGTTGTACAGCAGCCTTCCTGACTACTCTCATTTGAGCAATTATTGTAAAGACCCAGGTAACAACTGCTGTGGTTACTATGCTTGAGCTATGACCATGCTGTACTTTATCAGAAATGAAGTAAATAAAGAACACCTGGCCTCCGCTTACAGGCCTGATCTCACATTAAGCATCAGGCTTTCAGATATTAATTTTAAGAACTCTGAAAACTTTGTTGCCTCCAGGAAGAAAAAGTTTAACAAAGGTCACCCTCCAGAAAGGAATTTTAAAGATGAGTTTGGGAGGTCCACATTAGTTATCTCTGGTGTCTTTAAAACGTACTTAAATTAACGTATCAGAAAAATTTCACTTTAGAGCCCTGCAAATACCCAAGGACAGAAGACAGTTGTGCTCTACCATGGACTGCGCATCATGACTAATAAAGATAAGGGAGTTCCAGCAATACCTTAGATCAGGGGTGCCCAGCATCTAAGACGACATGGTCTGTCATAAAAATTCATTCAGCTTACAGCTCAGTTACATAAAAGGAAGCAAACGCAATTTATACCATTCATTTTACAGCAGTTACCTGACTAGTTTAAAGTTCCCTTTGGTGCCAGGAATATCTGTAGGGAACTCATCCGGGGTGCTACTTCCACATGATCGGTAACACTCTGGCCGGGAACAGCTTGGGTCATCCAGCTTGTAAATCTGTAAGTAATTTTTAAAAATAATTGAAAAAAAAAAAAGTATAATTCATCAAGGGTTAGTTACCTGTAAGTTTACAGCCATCTAAAATATATTAGCAACATATTTGCTAGATTTATGGTAATAACTCACCTTTGCATTAGCATAACCCAGCTTGATTGTGATATTTCTTTCCAGTTCATTTTTAAATCTCACAGTATGAACTCCAGATATAGCTTTGACTACCGTTGACTTCCCATGGGCTACATGACCAATTGTACCTAAATTTTAAAAGGAAATGTTTGTCAATAATCCACTGGTTAATTTTGTGCAATGTTCCATTATGATCAACACCTAATTACCCCAAACTCTCTGTAGCCAGTAAGTGCAGAGCTCCCATCAGAAGCATGTATGGATTTTGTAATAATTTTTGTTTAAACAGAAAAAATCCTAAATTGAGCTCTCAATGGACAGATCTTTGCATTTTCATGAAACTTACGTCAACGCTTAATTTTAAGAGCAAATAAAATTTGCTTTAGAGACTATTCCCTAATACATTCAACAGTGTTCTTGAAGTAAAATTGGTGCTTTTCAAGTTAAAAGGGCTTGACAAGTCTCTTCCTGCACCTTGATAAAATTTATAATAAAAACACTATCAATTTTACTGTCTGTCTCAGTAAGAATTTCTTTAAAATGTTCTCACAGAGGTACCATACACTTCTGCATGAGCACCAGAAAGAGTCACATTAATGCACCCCTCTTTTAGAAGTTTGTTTTTACCTATATTAATTGTTGCTTGTCTGCTGATGACTTCTGGTGAAAGAGGCGTCAACTTGGTAACATCCTGTATGAGGGAGATTTTAGAATTTATTCATCCCGTATCTAGAAGTTTAGAGAGTACTACATGTATCTTCTTTAAAATTATGCAGTAGTTCTGTTCAGCAAAATCCAACCAAGCTTATTAAAATTATTCTAGATATGCATTCTAGTCTTTTAAAGCATGTGAAATTAAGACAAAAAATGAACAAAATTCTGACTGTAGATCAGTATAGGTTGCAAATCAAAACACTGATTGTAAATCCGGATAGGCTGCAAGGTGTTAAAGATGGAAGTAAACAAAACAAAAAACCTCAGAAGCAGCTCTAACAAAAAACCTCCTTATCTACCCCCAAAATTAAATTACACATAACATGCAAATACAAATTAACTTTCCATGGGCTACATGGTGAACGGCACCTATATTTTAAAAACAAAGGTTTGTCACTAAACAGTTGTTTAATTGGTATGAGCTTCCATTACAGTGGATATATAATTAGAACTAGCACCTTGGAGTCAGTAGGTCCAGAGATTTCATCAGCACCATGGATTTAATTTTGGTTTATTTAAAATGGTTACTTTTTCCTCAAATACCGTTATTGCTACTGGAGGTACCAGAAAAAAACTGCTGTCCTAAATAGACTATTGCATGAACCTACCCTACTGGTAGCAGCCAGCAAACCAAAACACCTACAAATATATACAGTATAGTCAAAAAGGCAACTCTGAAAGAGATGTTTTGTTTTTTTTAAAGCTGTTTATCCAAATACTGGGAAAATGTCGAAATCCACTGAAATTGGATTCCTCTGTACTATTTTTGAAACCATTTACAGCTAATTTCCATCCTGCACTGAATTCAGATGGATGAGCTGCTAACTTCAAGCAAGATTCATGATGCCAAAAGAGTCCTCAGCGCAGGACTGGATATAAATATTTTGCTAATACAGAAATAACACACACACATCAATTTACATTAAAACAGAAATTGTTTACACTTACATGCAAGTTCTGTGCATAACAAACACATCTGTGTAAAAACGTAAACTTACTCATTCTGTTCTTAAGTATTACATGAATAAAATGATCACGTTCAATAAAAAACGTTTTGTCCGCCTAACGCAGGCAATTAAATTTGTATTTCTTGTATATCTAACTTAAATGACTACGCTCACTTAAGTCAGCGACTGGAAAATAACCTGCAGATGGCACCATCTAGTAGGGGTCACAAGCACATAAGCACGATGCGAATCCTGTCAAGAGACTTGTTCCTGGTGTACATAATTATGCACACAAGCAGTTTTTTCCTCGAGGCTGGTAAAAGGCCAAGCTCGGCTATAAACTCCAGTCAACTGTAAGCATTCAAGGGGCAACTGAAAAGGCAGAGAACAGGCCTTAAAGGTAATGCCTACTGACCTCCCAACTATGCCTATCTGTACTCTTCCTGACTGGCAAATGCCATGGTGCACAACAAAAGAATGTAAAGAAACTTTCTGAAATTACTAACGTGCTTCACTAATGACTATCAACATGCTTAGTTATAACACAAAAATAATTCTTTCGCTCAAATCCTTAAATTCCCGAACATTATTACTGTAGAGACAAATAAGCTCTTCTAGTTTGCTAAACACCTGAGGGAGCAACAAGTTTTTTTTTGCACTGGCTTTGTCTGCATGTATGTGTAACAAGTGAGACAGCCCAAGTGAAACATTTAATAGGCAAGACCACCACAGCCAGAGACCACTGCAGCTGATTTTCTCGGTGGTCAAGAAAATTTACTCAGTAGACTAATCAAGACAGGGTTGACAACGAACCCATCTAGCCCGCTGGAGAAACAGAACGCCAGTTTAGGGTTCTACTTCGGAGAGAAAATCCTTTAATACCAGTAAGCAGGCCAGCCCTTACAAGGAAGAAACTGCACGTCTCCACTGTCACAGAAAAGCTTCACTAGCAAAGCCGGGACGCCAGCCCGCCGAGGCTCGGACTCACCAGCAAGCGAAGCGCCCCGTCAGGCCACCCAAACTCGCCGCGACCAGCCTAACCTGCTCCCAGCGCCGCCGCTCCACGCTGCGCCTACCTCCTCCATCTACCCCTTCCCTCAGCCCCGGCGTGCTGCAACTC